CTGACTCCAACAATACGTGTACACAAATATCATATGCAAACGCTGTTAGAGGATTCACTGGCCCACGCAACGTCCAAAATGAAAACTCTACTAAACCATCTTCAAATATTGAAAACATGATCCAACTGTTTATGGAAAATATCACACAATTTATGAACACCATGCAAAATATGATGCAGGGAATGATTCAAAATCAAAATATCTTACTTTCAATCCTATCCAAACCATGAATGCAATCAAAATTTGCTTCTGGAATGCTAACGGCTTAAGCCAACATAAAAACGAACTTGTATTGTTTTTACAATCACATCAAATTGACGTCATGCTGATCTCAGAAACCCATTTTAACGAGAAAAGCTACTTTAAGATACCTGGTTACATACTCTACGATTCGAAACACCCCAGTGGACGAGCAAGAGGCGGATCTGCTGTCCTCATAAAAAACCACATTAAACACTTCCCAACTCAAACCCTTGAAGCAGAATATATGCAGACGACAAGCATATGTCTAGAAGAATACATAAAAGGTCTGACTATAACCTCAATCTATTGTCCACCAAGGTATAAAATAACGGAACTTCAATTCGAAGAATATTTTACAAAGCTTGGACCCAAGTTCATAGCGGCCGGCGACTTCAATGCCAAACACACATTCTGGGGCTCAAGACTTATATCACCAAAAGGAAAATCCCTGATGAACGTGATATCAAAACTCGACCTTAACATATCCTCCACTGGCACACCAACATACTGGCCTTCAGATCGGAAAAAAACTCCAGACGTCATTGATTTTGCGGTAACAAAGAATTTAAAAAGAGATCAAATTGCTACCGAGGCACCCTTAGAACTCTCCTCTGATCACACGCCGACTTTTATTCTGATTAGAAACACAACAATAGTCAATCCAAAATCTGAAGAAAAGCTCACAAACCAGCACACAAATTGGCTAAAATTTAAAAAATATGTTAGCTCACATATTAACACCGACATTTCCCTAAAATCAAATATTGAAATTGACAAGGCAGTCCAGGACTTCACAGCTTTACTTCAACAAGCCGCTCGAATATCAACCCCACTCCCAATACCCCACAAACCAATAAACTACCATACATCGAACGAAATTGCAACCCTTATACAGGAGAAACGACAAGTACGACGCCAATGGCAACAACAACGATCCCCCCGTATTAAAAAACAACTCAAGAATCTGACGAAAGCACTTCAGAGATTACTCAAAGAAAAAAATCGCATAGAATACGAAAATTTTATTTCACAGTTGTCTCCAACGCAAACAACAAACTACTCCCTTTGGAAAGCCACTAAACTCAAGAAAAAGCCCGTTATACACAGAGCACCCCTCCGACTTACAGATGGAAACTGGGCTAAAAGCGATGAGGAAAAGGGTGCTGCTTTTGCAAATCACCTTAAATATGTATTTACCCCAATCTCTACTTTAACAAAACTTGACTCTCTGCCTTACTCCACACGAAACGACAATATGACAATTTGCTTTAGTAAAAAACCACTAAAAAGCGAAATCAAAAATTTAAATACCAAAAAAGCTCCAGGCTACGACCTAATTACAGCGAAAATGCTGAAAGAGATCCCACAAATCGCCAAAGACCAACTACTTTTTATTTATAACGCTATTTTAAGGACTGGATATTTTCCAAACGACTGGAAGCTATCCAAAATCATGATGATACCCAAGCCCGGAAAGGACCCCGCTCAAGTCACCTCATATAGACCCATAAGTCTGCTTCCAATTCTTTCAAAATTATTTGAAAAACTTTTTATAAAACAACTAATGCCATATATAAATAAGAAAAGAATAATACCTAACCACCAATTTGGATTTAGAGAAAAACACAACACAATAGAACAAGTACACCGCATAGTACGAGTAATTAAGGAAACGTTTGAGAAGAGGCAGTATTGTTCAGGCGTCTTTCTAGACATAACCCAAGCCTTTGACATAGTTTGGCATGAAGGATTGTTCTGGAAACTTGAGAAACATTTACCATACAATATATCCTCAGTTATCAAAAACTACCTCTCAAATAGAAGATTTGTTATAAAACAAAATTCTTTTGTCTCCAATGCCTTCCCCATTATGGCCGGTGTACCCCAAGGTAGTGTTCTGGGCCCCTTGCTGTACCTGATTTTCACAGCAGACATGCCAACCAGTGACTGTACAACAACATCAACATTTGCGGATGACACTGCCATTCTCAGCCATAGTGACGACCCATTCACAGCCACAAAATCAGTTCAAGACCACCTCAACAAACTGCAAAAATGGCTCGATCTCTGGAGAATAAAAGTTAACGAATCGAAAAGTGTACACATAACCTTCACTCTACGACGAGATACCTGCCCTGCCCTTCGTATTAATGGAAAAGTAATACCACAATGCAATGACACCAAATACTTAGGAATGCACCTCGACCGAAGGCTTACGTGGAAAAAGCATATAGAAACCAAAGTAACCCAAATTAGACTCAAACAACAAGAACTAAACTGGCTGATAAATAAAAATTCTAAACTTAATCTCACCTATAAAGTGCAACTTTACAACACAATGATGAAACCCATATGGACCTACGGAATTGAACTCTGGAGCTCTGCTTCTCCATCAAACATTGAAAAACTTCAAAGAACTCAATCAAAAATCCTCCGGCAAATAGTCGGTGCCCCCTGGTATATAAAAAACGCAAATATTCATAGAGATCTTCAAATTGACACACTCACAGATGTAATTACCAGCAACACACAAAAGTACAAAATCAAACTCAGGAATCATCAAAATCCACTTGCAAGCAACCTTACCCAAAGCGCTGGTACACAGCGACTCAAAAAAAACTATATAAACCCGGCTATTCAAGAATAACGCCCGACATGGTAACGAAATTGGACGAAGCTTTGGCTAAGGACAATTAATTATCTATTTTTCTTTTTTCAAATATTTTAATACAGCAATTAGCAGCGAAAATTTATTGTTAGTTCTAAATTGATTTTTAGAAGATTCAATAAAAATCAAAATAAAATTCAAAAAAAAATAGAACAGATCTCATATTATTTGGTATGTGTTGCAACCACAATGTTGTTAATGCCTCCATGGTCAGCCAAAAATTCAATTAATTAAAATAATATAAAAAATAAAATTTTTGTTTTTGTAGTTCAATACTGTTCGAAAAACCTCTTTATGAAATATAATAAGTTTCTATTAAAATATAATAGTCACTTTAGTCTGGAAAATTTGACGTTAAAAATTTCAACTAAAGAAGTTGTAAAATTGAATTTTTTTTATACGTTAAACTAATGACAAAGATTGCCTGCGAATAAAGTCACAATTTATAACTCAATCAAAAAGTGATATGTAATTGTGAAAGAAATTGTGGTTAAGAGTTTTGGCAAATAACAAAGTGTATGTTAAACTAATTATAAAGATTGCGTGCAATTAAAGTAGTAATTCAGAAATAAAACCAAAGTGTCTTGTAATTGCATGAAAAGATTGTCATAAAGAAAAAAAAATTGTTTTTTTTTTGGTCAAATATCAAAGTGACCAGTGAACTAAGCAAAAATTTAAAATAAAGGAAAAGAAAAAAAGTTCTGTTTTGGATTGAAGACAAGCGAAATTTGGCATCAAATTGTGGGACGGCTAAGAGGAAAATTGAAAGCAATATCCGCAACGGAGGAGACATTGAGAGGACATTGCAGTATAGCCAACGTCGGCAGTTTCAAAATTGAAGAAAATCCCGGTAACGATAACGCACAACATTGAGTGAAAGACTCCGGACCAGCTATTTCAAAACCCGTTATATTTAATACGTAATTTTCTTGGTTAACGGATATGAAATACCGTTAACGTGCACGGTTACGATAAAAGAGTGAAGCTCACATGAACTATGTTAAGCATAGTGTTATAAAAAAAAAAGAAAAGTTGCTGGCGGTCAGATTATAAAATCTGAGGGCGCAGATTTAATAACAGGCAGACACAAAGCCTCTTTCTTTGATTTGTCGTATTTATCCGTTGCAGGAGGATTTTTTGCAATGTCTTCTACTTGCTGCAACGTTTCTGAATCTAGTGCAGTGATCACTGCGTAAAATTTTGACAAATCTGATATCACTTGACTCATGTGTAGTGAACCTTCAATTTGCTCAAATCATAAAATTGGATCCTTGACTAGAAAGTTTGACAACTTCATTGGCCGTCGTCATCGCTTGCACCGCCGATGCTTTAGCTTTCATTGTCTGAAATTTGTTTGTGATTGAGGGAATCTTTTTGCATTTTGCGCTTTTATCCAGAAAGTTGCGTTTTTGCTTCTGTCGGGGTCACCAATTTATGGCTATTGTGCCATAATTTTATAATAAAACAACTTTTATTTCTTTTATTTTTTCACGTTGAACTATATTTTTATTAATTTTTTTTCGCTAAAAAACGAGCTGACAACTCCTTGGCGCCTGTTATTAAGTTAGTTGCTTATTAGAAAAGATAATTTAGTTTTATAACAAACTGTTCTCTTATATTCTTTCAGGCAGAGCATATGCATACATAATTGTTTGTCAACAATCTTGTATTGTTTAAATGAAAACATAATTTGTCACTTTTTGTGCTTACTGTGGACATCTATCTGAATAGGTTATATTATAAATCTATATGGTTGCGATATATAAATATTTTCCATTTCATTATGTTCTCTGTCTTATAAATCAAATATACGTTAAAAATATCATGACGGTTTCAGTTATGTATGTTGTAATGGCGATTTTTGTCACCGCTCTAGCATAAGTAATGGCTTGTTGTTTTAACTTTTACATAAAAAATCATTTAAAATCGAAGTAAACTTTGTTCCCAATGTATGATCTTAATTGTTAAAAATTATAGAATTCATTGTTGATTTAATACTTAAACTTCTACTTTGAATCATTTTGCCATGTAGTGGTTAAGTGTAGTGGTTAAAATATTAAAATAATTTTAATTTAAATTATAAAACTAGGGGTTTGAATATTCAAGAAGTGGAAATCCTACTAGGAACGTTTTGGAACGATGCTTGGCAGCACTGGATAATGCTAAATTTGGTTTAACATTTGCTTCTGGTCTTGGTGCAACAACAACTGTGTTAACTATGCTATCAACTGGAGATCATGTGATTGTAGGTGATGATGTTTATGGAGGTACAAATCGTTTAATAAGGTATATTAGTTGAACTCTTTGCTTTTTATATATACTCTAACAACTCTTTATTTGATTTTTAAGACAAGTTATATCTCGCATGGGTATAGATTTCACTTTCGTTGATCCTACTGATTTGGTGACTTTTAAAAGTGCGATTAAAGTAAACACGAAGGCAAGTTTAAATACAAACAATTTTTAAATATAACAAATATTACTAATATTATTTATAATATGCTATATATAAAGCAGAAAAAATAAAAATCAGCTATCTATGTTATTTAAGTTTTATTGAGTAAATTAAGGTTTTTATAAATATATCTTGCCGAAACATGTTAAGTCTAAAAACTCCTTGCTAAAAAGTTTAAATTTTTGGTTTTAAAAGACTAAACATTACATTTCAAGTTTCATTTTGTTTACATTGCTGCAATCAACTGCTGTAAATTGCTAAAGATTTAAAGAATAACATTAATTTCAGTATATATAATTTAATTCCTTTTTGCTAAATACAATTCTTGATTAAAATTACTCTACACTTTTACATGCATACGATATTATATTATATATTATTTTATATATATAAATATATAGCAGTTATTTAAGTGAAGTATGATATAGACGATGCTACATGTTTGCAAACAAGGTTTGCGAGCTACCAAATTGCACCATCTTTATTCAAGTTTGCAAACCAAATTTCGGTCTGCAACAAATTTTCGGTGAAATTAAAACTTTTCAATTATTTGTTAAGTGGGCAAATATGTTTGCTTGTGTATATCGAAGTTTGCAAACTTCTCGTAATTTGAAAACTTCGGAGAACGTCGGAACTGCGAAAAACGCGGGAAAAAATTATATAATAATAAAAAAAGTGAAATGTCAAAATCTACAGATTTATTATTTGACAATTTTGGTGGGTGTCGGATGTGTAAAAAACGCGGGAAAAATTATTAAATAATAAAAAAAGTGAAATTGGAAAAAAGTGCTAAAAACAATTATTTTGTGTGTGAATAATATATTAATATGGCTTTTCCGCATAATAATATTTATAAAGAATTAATTGAAGAATACAAAAACGAACGGTGTTTGTGGGAAGTTAAATGTGACGCGTATAAAAATAAATATTTGAAATCGCAAGTTTGGAATAAGTTATTGCTAAAATAAAAAGATTTTCTATATGCCACTTTAGAACATGTAAAAAAAAAAAATTAATGGTATGCGGATCAGGAATTGTAAAAACACTGAATATTTGTAACTATAATAAATTTTGTTAGTAAATAAGTATATATTTAAAGATATTGTAAAATGAAGAAAATATATAATAAATAATAATAAGTATAAAAAAAATTATCAAGTGTCCAAACTTATTGTATTACGAGAAGATTCAGGGTTACAAAGAAATATTCTTGTAACGACTCTGGGATGCGGCGAGCGAAACCTCGGCGGTAAGCTTCATTACAAGTTTCGATTATTGTTTTGCACTATGTACTTGCTCCGCTGTTGATATGAACGCTGCAGAAAATATATGAAAATGAAGTATGCAATCTCGTTTCAAAGTGTATAGCATAGTGGATACTTGGTTTGCATAATTGGTTTGCAAACATGTAGCATCGTCTATATCATGCTTAACAGCAACAGCCAAAATGAAATTTACGTTACCAAATACCGAAAATTCTTTCTATACTTTTTTAGATTTTTTATGACCTATATTAAAATGTCGTTTAGAATTATTAGTAGGGTTAAATATGATTTTAAAGGATAGCCACTGTTTACAATCAAAAACTTCTCACTGAAAACTCCGTTAATTTACGTTAATTTACGTTAATTTACGGTATTATGAAATTTCTTTCTATTGCGAAGCATTTTGTCCACCTACGATTAGAACACTCTTATATTTAGAACGTCATGCGTTGTTTGTTTCGAGATTCTGGATCTATTATCAAACTATGCACCATTCTATGTAGCGAAATGGTTTCTTCATCTAAAAATGCTCCGCATAAAAGTACAATTCGTGCATTAGTTACGTCTTTCTAATTTAAATCTTATTTTTAGCAATTTTATTAGTTTATTTTTTATAACAAAACACAACTGATTACGATTTTAAATCCCCAACATTTCCATTTAAGTTAAACGGAGTTTAAATACGGTACGCTAAAAGCTCCGTGGGCCGAACAAATCTTTATAACATACTTTGGCCTGCTACGTGAACATGCGTTACCGTAAATCAATATGTACTCACGTGTCCATCTTTCTTTCGTAGATGTGACATCTGAATAGGACTAGTTTAAACATACGTAAGCAGTCAAATGTAATCTGTAAAACGTAATTTTGAGTTAAGCCCAAGTTTAACCTGGCGACTGTGTCAAATTTAATCTAACCGTAAACTACAATACTGGGCATAATGGTAGGTAGGTAGGTTGGAATGGCGGCTTTGTTTCCAAAAAGCCCACTTAAACTCAAATAATAACCCATTGTGGTACCACAGAAATAGCATTGGTACGTACATAGATATAAATCAGTATACAGTCAACACCGAAATACTCCATTAGATAAAGGAAAACCATCCTGATAGTTCTATAAGCTTGGCCAGATCCCTAACTTTACAGGATGACAGCTCAGTCAGGTCGGTGAGAAAAGGGAATCCGAAGAATTTTGATTTTCTTCTAGCTAAAGAACGGCATTGACACATGAGATGGATCACGGTCTCCTCCTCATCTTCAGATCAACAACCTCGACAAAAGTCATTGTACACCTTGTCCGCACAAATACTTAGTTAAAGTAGCTGATTAGCTCGTATCTTGTCTAAATTAGACTTAGCCAACCTAGATATCTGATAATGAGACTGGGCATAATAAAAAACATAAATTCACGATTTTTTACATGTTCTATCATGTTTTTAAATTAAATTTGCATGACATAATACGTGGAGTTTTTACAAGTAGTTTATGAATAATGTATTAATTTAATCTAACACTTTAAAATTTTGATGATAAGCTTCTTAATTCATCGATTTCAAAAAAGTCTGAATAGTGGTCTACGGTATAATAAAACTTTTTTTCTGATTGTTTATGTTCATTTAGAATACATCCATTGATACTATTTCAAATACTGATGTTGGAGTACTTGTTATCATCAAATATCATTTCTCATTGGTTTTGGTATATACACTCGATCTCCCTTGAATACAAATCCGTTGTTTACTATTAATTCGGCTCTCAAATTCCAGTACTGCTTGATTTCGTTAGGTAGCTGTTGTTTATGCTCTGGCCAATCATTTTTAATTATATTGATTAATGTTTTTGTAATAACATCTTCACCTGTTACTCGCTTAATTTTCTGAAATGTTATTGTAGATATGCGTTTATCTTCTTTTTCACCAATGTCTTCTTCTGGAGTTCTTGATAATGTTTCAGCTAGATAAATTTCGGTTCCTTTTTTACATACCTTTGTTAGGCCAAGATCATCAATTGTAAGCGCTTTAGTGTTTTAAATAGCAGTTTCCTGAAAATATTGATTAAGGTTAAATAATGCATTTGTTTGCATTACGATTGACTTGTCCATGCTGTAATAGTTTAGAATTGGTGCTGTTGTTATCACTTCTTTTAAGGTATTAAATGCTCGTTCTTGATGTGTGTTACGTTACGCAAAGGATCTGTTATTGTCGCTAAATTTGGTATAAATTTATTTACATATGTTACAAGACCTAAAAATCTTTTCGTTTCAGCCTTATCTCTTGGTTAAGGCATATTTAGAATTGTACTAATTTATTTGGACCTGGCTTAACACTTTTGTTAAGATGTGATCGATCATAACATTTTATATTTTGTTGACATACCTTGATTTTGTACCTGTTCATTTTTAGGTTTTGTTGTCTTAAACATTTCAAAAGTGCTTCTAAGTTTTTATTGTGATCTTTAATTGCACTTTGTTCATTTTCACCTTTGCCGAAAAATAGGATATCGTCTGCTATGCATACAGCTCCTTTTAAATCTGACATAATCTGGTTTTGCTTTATTTGAAAAGTTTTCATTCAATGGCAAACGATTAAATCTATATATTTTAAATACAGTTCAAAATGTTGTGAGTTTGCTGTTTTTCTCATCTAATTCGAGTTGCCAAAACTTTATTTCGCTTCCAGTATTGTAAAGACTTTTGCTTCTGCAAGTTTAGCTAAAATTTTTTCTATCGTTGGTAGTTGATATTTAACGTGTTTTAGTGCTTGATTTAGGTGCTTTCGATCAGTACATAATCTTAGTTTATTATTATTTTTCCTGACGATTATTAAATTGCTTGCCCAATCTCCGTATTCGATGTCTTTGGTTATAACGTGTTGTTTCTCCATGTCGTCTAGAGCAGTTTTCAGTTGCTCACGTAATGATACGGGGATACGCATTAGTGATTCCCTTTTTGGTATTATGTTTTCGTCTTAAGTGAAACTTTTCCTTCGATTTTGCTCAGCCCCTCGAATATCTCTTTGTATTTGTTTACATTCGCAAATGTGCTCTCACTATTAGTATCTTCTTTCACATTCTTATATTTTTATTAGTTCCATTATTAGTTCCATGTTCGAGCTTATAGTAGTGGACAATGTTATATTTTTTATATTTTTTGTTTTATGCGCTCCATCCAGAGTTTGTAGTGTTGTGTTTGTATTTCTAATAATGGGATTTGATAGTATTACTAATAAGTCTTTTTTGCCGATATAATTTTAATTTCAATTTGCATTTTAATTTGCAACTACTGCTGCCTTGTAGACAATTAGGTTTGAAAAAATAGCTAATGATAATCCATACTACTTTGTAATCAAAACATATTCGTTAAATTGTTATTCATCTTCCTTTTTCTTTTTTTATTCTGTGTCTTTTAATGTTATGTTCCACAAAAAAGGGGATATAAACTTACCCGAAAATTATAGAGGCATTACTTTATGCAATATTATCTTAAAAATTTTTACCCATATTCTGCATGATCGCCTCTTGCCAAAAAACACAACAAAATTCCTGAGTCGCAAATGGGTTTAGAAATAAAAGATCATGTACTGATAATAGTTTTACTCTTCAAAAAGTAATTCAATTATATCTTCGTCTAAAAAGCAACTTTGCTTACGAACTTTTTATTGATTTCAAATGTGGATTTGATTTTATTGACCACTTGCTGCTCTGGCAAAAACTTCATTCGCAA